TTTCCTGGAGGAAAAAAAAAACTTGGAAAAATTCGGCATATTTAATGAACAGTCCCTAAAATCACGTGCACACACCCCTGCTCAAGAGTGTCCTGAAAACAGCTAACCATCACACTTATTTCGAACAGTTCAGCTGTCTAGCAAATTTTGTCAAAGACATCAATACTGGAGCATGGATTCATGGCTTGACCATTATAGCTGAAACGATCATCGCTATTTGTTGTTGGAAGCTGCTGATGAATTTATCAGGAAGCGAAAACAGAGAAAGCAATGACAACAAAAGACCGCACGGACTGAAAATTGTGGTATGATTTTGCTTTGGAGACTATGCAGTCATTTGAAGAAATTCTGAATACCAATACATAGAGAAGTTGATATATAGAATGTAAACCTTTAATTTCGAAAATCATTGCTGTGAACGAATATTTTATAAGAGAGAGTTTGCCCTATTCATAATATAAATGTGACTTTACTGAACTAGGGTTATCTCTTTATAGAAATATTATTTTATCTTTACGGTTTTGATTGGCTGAAATTTGATAAGCAAAATGAAATATTCGTGTGTAATTGTTCAGTTTTTACTTGAATAACATTTAATAAACATAATTTCAAAATTCGAATGATTTATGATTTGTTTTAGCGAAACAAAAAGCGAAAATCAACCATCTTGATGCATCTCATATGATGATAAATGCTAACTTTAGAAAGTTTCTTTTGCAAATGACTACATAGGCACGTCGAAAAATGAACCTTTATAAATATCTATCTTGTTATGTTTTGTTGAAAATCTATAGTAGAATGCTTTTTTTTACCTCTCAGCGACATCTTGAAGTATGGCAAGAAGTGAAATGCAAGATATAGAAAAGCGGCTCGGATATTTGTCGCAAGGAACCGTAAAATAGATTTTCTAAGTTTGAAGTGCCGCGTTATAAATAAATATTCTCACCGTGATTTATTCTGCATTTTTCTCTCACCAGTTATGCTGTTTTGGTGCCGTCGGCCTCGCCTACTGGTTCTATGCTGCAGTCTTAGTGACAAGCTGGGCAATATCTAAGAATGGCTTCAATGACTACTTCAACTGGTCATCTGCCAAGTACTATTATCGATGTTTGACAGCTTTCCACCTTATCTACACATTCATGAAAACGACCATGGAAAATATGACAACAATCAGTTTTTGTAGGAGTAAATGTAATCATTTTCTTACTGGATGCTTGGTTCTTGGCATGTTCTCGGAGTTTCTTGGGGCTGCGCTGGACCAGTATGTTGGACCAATCGAGGAGCGATATCAGTACGTATTAAAGAGCTATATCATTTCCCCTTTTTTTTCTGTTCGGGTGTTTCTGATGTTCCGCGCAGTTGTTTTACGCACATCAAACGCGAGACACCCGCCATCTTGATATTTTCATCATTACCATGATGCACTTCGCGAATACATACATGACGTCATAACAGCAAAAGACCATTGAACAACAAGTGTTCAGACTTTAACAGAAACACTTGAAAGCTGACAAGAATTAAGCGCTACAAAATATCATATCGATATCAACTCTATAACGAGGATTCATATTTTCTATACGTAATATATAGGTGTCAGTAATAGCGGAGTGTCCGTAAGGCGACAATAATCCGGTTTCGAATTCTCCAATGCTCAATTTTGAGCATAAACTGTAAAAGTGTAAGATTTCAAATCAATTTTATCGTGTTTTTTTTTTTTTTTTCAAATTTCATGTGTTTTCTCGGGCTTTCAATGAAACAAAAGAATATGTTACTTGGTTTTGAGGCCTACACAGAACAAACCAGATCTAGAAATTAAAGTATTGATT